GTCGCTTATAATAACGAAAAAACACTGATTGAATGTAACCCCATTCAATTTTATTCCATGCGGAGTCATTTGGTGGACATTTTAGAAGTGACTGTGACAGAATGGAATAACATTATTCCCGACTTCAATCACGATAGTCCAGTCACTATGCAACCATCAAACAGTCTAAACGACATTTTACAGCATAAGGAAACTTCTCTACTAGAAGGTTACAAAATGTTTATGCATGAAGTCATTATTCAAGGCATCAGTTATCACAATCTTAATGTGGACACATTGAACCGTTATTTATTTAACTTAAACAAAGAAGTGATGGACGAACTTTGTGCAAAAGCTATTTCTTACTACGACATGCATGCACCAGGCAAGATCAAGTCCTTTGGGAATTGAACATGTGTGGGCAATGACGTCATTGCTCTTCTATAAAAAATCACGTTGGCCTCTACGCGTAAACACTCAACAGGATGGCTTTGACTGTATCTCTGGTGGTACAAATGGTGTGGATTTAGAAGCAGAAAAGTTAGCAAGACACTATGGTTTAAAGGTCGAAGTTCTCATTCCTCCTTGTCATCCCAGAAGAGCCTCCGTTCAACCCTTAACACATCTTCAATTAGCTGAAGCTATTCCTACAACAAGACAAGTCGCTGCACGCCTCAACAAGCAGTTAGAGAACCCTATCAGTTTACAATATATCCACCGAAATTATCATGTGGTGAAACAAGCTGATATGGTGTTGGCATTTACTTGTTTTCAACCCGAAAGTATCTTATGTTTTGGTGGAACAGGATGGGCAGTGGAAATGGCTAAAGTCCTCAACAAAGTCCTGTATGTGTATGATGTGCAGCGAAACATTTGGTTTTGGTATAACCCTAACCAAGATTTGTTTTACGCGTGTGATCAGATGTCAAATGAGCAGTACGCTTTACCCACTCTAGTGCAGAAAACCGCCATTGTAGGAGTCAGAAACCTCTACGACTACCCTGAGGCTCTTTTAGAATTGCAAGAGACTTTTAAACGAAGTTTAAACCTACCGAAACAAGAATGTAAGGATGGTAAGGAACTTTGTAACACATTTAGTTTATTGACACTTTAAGAAACTTTTTTTTTTTTATGCAGAGTTTGTCTAAATGAGTTGCAATCAATATCTGCAAACAACAGTCATCCAGTAATCTTCAGGGATTTTTAACTCTTCAATCAAGGAATCGGTCCCCACCGCAATAGCATGCATTGCTCCAATATTCAAAAAGTTGCTGTAATACCAATAAAATGTTGAAATACAATAAAACACTGTGATTAATTATAATTGTATTTACATTATTTTTAAAACATTTCTAAACGTTTTAACACTGCGCATGCGTTCTACACAACTCATAAACCCTCCCAAACACTTAGAAAACGTTTAAGAACGTTTTTCCTTAAAATTCACTTCTGCGCATGCGTAGTGCGCAATTTGGTCAGAGACACACATTCTATCCCACATGTCTAAGTCACAACTTTCATTCACCTATATAACTTCCCTTTTACATCGCATTCAATAACTACCTTCAGAGTATGACCCAAGCGCTCTTCGAGCGCTCCCAAGCACGACTCGATCCGAAGACGCCATCTTGAATACTAATGAATACAATTTTTGATGACGTCATCCGAGGACACTTTATGACTACCTACTTCATGACCTACCACCTAGAGGACACTTCGTGACTATGACATGAAGTACTAAGTGTGCCTCAGGTGCAACCAATACTACTTTCTCGCTTTGTTTAGTTTTTCTATTCACCAGTTTTTTCAGTTCTTTGTTCTTGTGCGAGCCCTGTGGGTTTTCTTTTTGGCCATTTTTTCTTCCTCCTTCGATGTTTTCCGTACTAATTTCTAATTCGTTCCGGTCTACCCCAATAAGTTTTCTCCGGCCCCTTGCAGTTCATTTTGTGAAGTTTAGAGTTGTTATTCTACCCGTTTTGAAATTTTTTTTGCACTCACTGACCATGTTTTTCTTTTTACTCCATTTGGACCCAGCTGATCATATTCCGTTTTCATTCCCCAATGTTATTTACTTTTCGGCACGTTGTAAAATTTGCTTTTGGGTGTCACTGAGCTCATAAATACCAGCCTCTTTTCCAATTCGACCAAGTACACTATTCGTCTAAGCAAGGTTCAGCCTTTTCACAAAAACTCACGGGATCATGGCCTGCATTGCTGCTATAGTACTTGTGGATGGTTTCCAGCACGGCGACGAGGAGTTCTTCACCAAAGCGCTTGCCTTCGGCTCTGTCCGGCATCAGACTTTTAACCTCCGCCGGTTTGATTCCACAGCACTCCTATTGCAATCTCCACGGGCAATTGCCACTTAACGGCACCAGTCCCGCCTTCATGGCTGGGAACTGAACCCCACTGGCCTTCCCCAGTTTGCAGTAAGTACCGCATTACTGGCTTTCGTTCAGGACATGCTCCTGGACGAATTCGAACAAGGACGACCAGTCCCTGCGGCCTTAACCCTTTGGGTGAAAGGGTACCAACAGCATGCCTTTTTTCTGGACCTCGTTGCTTCCTTGGAGCCCCTGCCTGTACCAATCCTTGTACGGAACCTGGAAGATATTTCATGTCCGCCCGCGCGACTCTTGATTCCCGGCGAGAGGGTGTTAACCACGTCGAAAAAGATCGCCGCCTACCTAGAGTGGATGCACGACCACCACCTTGGCAGACCTACCGGCCTCTTCACTGACCTCTGGTAGTTGAACTTTTACTTATGAACTTTTCTTTATGGACTTTTAATAGTTTTCTGTGTTTTTCGCCGAGGACGGCTCAACTTAAGGTGGGAGAAATGTTAGGGAGAATATAGCTATTTTTGTTGATTTGTAATATGTTTTTCCAGATCAAGCGTACGGCGTTTTGAACTTAATTTCTAGTAAAGGATTTGGTAATGGTAGGTTATATTTTAATTCAGTTCGGATAATCTAAGTTTCATTGCGACACTTGACTTTAGTTATCGCTTTTTAATTCCTTTGTTGTAAGTGTATATTTGTGTAAATTGTGTGGGTGATCGTTTACAGCTGCCAAAAGGGCTCGTGCCATTTTTATCCTTTGTTTCATTTGCTTTGTGTTCGCTAGGTTATAATCATAGAAAAGCCAACAGTGTTCCTTAACAAACAAAACTAATTGCTCGTTCTCTTTTCAATTATATACATTTTACGTCAATGTTGTCGTCAATGTTGACTCTTGAAAGAATACTTAATTTCTTAATAATAGTTTATTTGACTTTAGTCTATTTTTACTACCAGACGACATTTATTCATAGAAACGCCTTTTGTGCAGGTGCATCTCGTTTTAATTGCAACTTGGTTATATTTATTTGCGAAAGTATATTTCATTAAATTGTTAGTTAAAGAGAGGTAATAACCAAATTTTGAATATGAAAGGTTTTGCTGTCTTGTAATTTTAAAAATTAGATCGGTTTTTGTTTACGGTGAAAACTTTCAATTAGTCTGCGCTTTTCCTATTAAAACAGCCGATAGCTGACCTTGCAATTTAATTCGCATTGTAACACTTTGTACATAAACGCTGTTTTGCTGACCTAGCTAGGTCTTTGTCTCAGTACTTTTACTTTCTAAAATAGCAACAGTAACAAAAGATTTCAGGTTAAAAATAGAATATGAATTTAGTTTTCATTTAACGCTAAGTGATTTCTGTTTATATTTCTATTGTATTCTTTTGTCTTCAATGGTTGTAAAAATCATATATAAGTAAATTAGTTTTTACTGATTGCCGATTATTTTGCCGTGTCCTACCCGAGTTATTGCTGTTGATCTGCTGAAGAATAAACGCTGTTGGAACCAAGATTTGTTATCTTTTATCTACTGCTGTGCCAGTTAGTGGTCTCATCCCGGACCTCGAGAGAAGCGACGGCTCTTCCCCGCAAGCGAGTTGCCATTTGAGTCTAGTTTTCCCCAGTTTTATCGCGAGTCAAGCACCGAGTTCCCGTTGAGCCTAAATTTGTTTCAAAGTGGAAAATCCTTCCGTCACATCTTTATTTATTTTGTGTTCACTATTTTACCGTGTTCTTAGGACAAAGGTCTCTTGAGCCAACAAACATGACGTCGGGTTGTTGGGTAGAGCTATAGTCGCATTGAGGACAACTTCAAACAAAGGATGACAAAAATGTCAGAGCGAGGTGCGACAGAAGTGCCAGTTCAACCTTACGTCATAAAATTAAAGGAGTTGAAATTTAAGTGTCTACACAAATTGTCCTTTGCTTTTAACCTACACTCGAACGTTTAATCATTTTAAGTTTCAAATATTTAATCATTTTACTTTTGAGGTATTTATACTGGGGAATGTTTTTACTAAGGGAATCATATTTATTCAGTCTATGAAAAGAGATAAAATTGGGGAAAATATTCAAAAAAAATTTAAAACTATAAAACACACACAAAAAAAACACGTAAACTTAGTATCGTAATGATAGGAATAACAATAATGCCAATGATAATACTAGGTTTTGGGTTGTGACAAAACAGGAGTCAAAAGGAGCCGCCTCTTATTGAACAGGGGTTGAATGAAAACATTTAATATGTGTCGAGGTTAGGCAAACAACTTGGACTTCTGTATGATTAATTCTGTTCGATTTGTCTTGTTTTAGGAATAGGGTGTTCACATGCTAAGTTCAATCACAGTAAAGGACTGGAAGGAGAAATAGGCGCTGGCTCCGAGATTAAGGAACTAAAGCAAACACTATTCTTCCAAACGTTTTGCCAGCAATTAACACAAGTTGAGTCTCTCAAACCCCGTCTACACGCGCTAAAAAGTCGGCACGGCAAGCCAAATTTTTGGCACTGTGCTGACGATTTGAAGGCACGGCACTCACAATTTTCGACGTGTAAACGTATCGGTCCCAAATGTAATGTGGCACCAGTGCTCAAAATTTTAGGGGTGCCGAGACTACCTCCCGGAGGAGGTCTCGGCACGGGTAAACGACGCACGGTGCCAAAAATTTGGCGTGCCGTGCT